CTCTTAAAGCACTATGCCAACTGGCCATATCGTCAAATTGCTACTGCTACTGGGGTTGCACTTTCAACTGTGTATCGGATTGTCCACCCTACTCTTACACCTATCCATAGGCGCCTTCGAGGACGCCACTCAATCCTCTGTACCCCACAATGTGAGAAGTTCATCACCATAGCAACCTCTTCAGCTGAAAACCACCGTAAGTTATGCATTAAAATTGCGCAAATGGCAGGCATTACTGCCTATCACCGCACTTTACGTCACACAATGTCTTGTGTGTAGGCTATCATCACCGTGTTGCTAGAAAGAAGCCCTTTCTTTCAAGTAAGACTCGTCAGGTAAGAGTTCTATCCCTCTCTATACTATCTAATTCCCTTCATTCAATAGTTCAGATATCATGCTGTAGACCGACAGTGTCTGTGGTGAGATTGGCCTCCTAAATTTCATATAGGATGCCAACCTCACCATAGCCACAGGCGGTCTACTATGCAATAAGAACTTGGACGATTGAGTCTCGCCCTAAGCCCGCTATAACTCTCGCTTTGCAATAGAGAAGCCTTCATATACTTGTACTGTGTTTAGTATGAGCCCCCTTCCCCACCTCACATAGACCGGGAAGAAAAAAAAATCTTGCCTTACCAGTTATGGCAACTTCCCCATTATACCGCAAGATTTATTTATCCGAGTTCTTACTGTATGATACCAGCCTTAACTTTGTCTTCCCCTCCGGGCATTTAGTTGTCTCCTGCTTTCGGGATCTTTTTCCTCTCTACCTTAGACAGTATTGACTTTTGGCTTCTTCGGACAGCTCTTGACGATTGTGTTTCACTTTCATACCCGTTTCTTTTCTTTGCATTCTATGACAAAAGTGAAAGAAAGCAGTCTTTATAGGCTTGGAGTTGGGGCTGGGCATACTCAGGCCATGTATAGCGAGTCTTTAACTGGGGTTTGTCTGTGTAATTGAGGGGTTATCAGGGATGAGTATGAGGTTGCAGTGCTGCTCGAGTACCAGTAGGGGTGAGTTAGTGTTTTGTGGCTTTTCTATCTTACTTTCATATTTTTGAACCGGGTGTGGAAAAGATTTTTGTTACTTTTTGAATCCTTTTAGTTTCTTTATTAGCTATGATAGATTCACAGTTATCTAACGTTTACTTGCCCAATTAGATTAAGACTGACTAGGTATATTATGATATTTAGGCATGCTTATCATGGACAGACATGTATAAGGTCTGGGCTACCTATGATTGGTCCAAAGTGATTTGGAGCAACGAATGCGCCTTCAACGTGGGCGGAGCTCCTGGCCGGGTCTGGGTTACTCAACAGGTAGGGGAGAAGTTTGACGAGCCATGCCTTCTTCTGAAATTCAAGAAGCATGAATTGATCATGATCTGGGGATGTTTTGTCGGCCGCCGTAAAGGTCCCTTAATTATATGGGATAAGAAGGCCTAGGGGAAGACGATGAATGCTAAGGGATATCAAGAGCATATTTTACCATCTCTTGATCAATTTTGGCGGAGCGAGTCTGACCATACTCATGATTATGTGTACATCCAGCAAGATAATGCCTCACCCCACCGCGCTCGCTCTACTATCACTGACCTACAGGAGCGCGGTCTCTACAACTACCTTTTGCCCTGGCCAGCAACCTCTCCTGATATGAACCTGATTGAGGCAATTTGGAGGTTAATGAAGACCCGTATTGGCAAGCTAATCCCCCGCCCCCAGAATAACCATGATATGATGGAGGCAATCAAAGCTCAGTGGGATGCGATTACTGAGCATGATTTGGGGAGATTCTTCATACCATGATCGACCGAGTTGATACCCTTGTTATTGCCAATGGCGGCCCTACTAAATTCTAGTCTGTCTTTGCTTCTTTTTTTTACTTTTTTTTTTATTTCTCCTGCTACTCTTCATTCAAGCTGTTTTTTATTCTCTTATATTCTACTTATTTCAATTGGATTTGTTTAGTATCCTTAGCTCTTGTTTTGAATTGGGGGCCCAGGCAATATGGGACTTGGACACTGCTGTTCAGATCGTTCAAGTCCCGGAGGGTGGTATTTCTTTTAGTTTCTCAGGTTTTGGAATATGTGGCACAAAAGAAAAAAACCAATAGTTAGCAATGATTAGCTATGATTATTATGATACGCTTAGTTCTTTAGTTCTTTACTTTTTCAAATTCAATAGCTCTTATTTGGACAAAATTGTGGTACAGATCTTGCAAGCGCCGTACCACTACCTTCTAAACTCTGATCCCTGTTCTGTACCATGAATACATGGTAGGGCCTTGTACCAGTATCTGTCATGTCTCACCGAAAAGGACAGTCACGGGGTCTACTCGAGTAGATTGACTCTCATGGATTCGGTGCCAGCTAAAATGAGAACAGTGTAGTAATGCCCGCGCTGATGGGAACCCAGCTATGATCGTTTCCTACCGGCTAACGCTCGGTTGTGAGTTTAACTAAATGCTTACTATGAGACAAGAGGTTTATTTTACCTTATCATATTTCACTTACCCTTCAAGGCTATGAGGGTACTGATATTTCACCTCCGGGAGATAACACTTTTAAGACAAGTCATCATACTTTCAAATCCCCCCCCTGTTCTATCTGATAGGTCGAAAAGCATTTAATATAATCATATTCTGATTGTCATCACTACTATCCCTTGGGGGGTCTGAAACAGTAAAATTCGTTGCCAGCTGATCTTTTCCTCATAGGTGTAGTACTATTCCAAATGTAGATAGGCTGCGATCATGGATAGCAACGTCAAGAATTATCTGTAGCGAGAACCTTAGCACTTGACGGTACGGCAAAAGCACACTATGTCAAGCTCAACCAAGATCTGAAGGCCTCTTTCTTCCCTTTCTGTTAATTCTGCTTCAAAGGAAAGTGCGAAAGCTACGAAACTGAATAGAAAAGGCCGGCAATGCAGTAAAAATACTCCACCGCCGGCTGAATCTCCAAGTAACCGGCAGCCATATCGTCCGCTCCAGCCTCGAATAAATCATAT